AAGTAACTGACCTCCAATAAAAACCCTGGACACCAAGGCTTGGGTGAATGTCCCTGGTTGGCAATATTTCCTACATGTTGTCACACACTCTTGCTGGGAGAATTAAGCAAGATCCATGGGATTCCAGGGGAGGGGACAACTGGAAGCTTGTGCCTGGTTTCTCCTGGACTCTGTTTTCCCTAGGTGCCTTTTGCCTTGGTTGATTTTAATCTGTATGCTTTCACCGTCATAAACTGGAACTGGCTGTAACAGCTTTTCTGAGCTCTCTGAGTCCTTCCAGAGGATCATCCACTCACAGTGCCCTGGGCATTCCTGACACATCTTCCCCCTGGGTTTACTTCTATCAGAGCACTTTTCATAATGAATTGTCACTGCCAGTCTCTCTGTGCTGTGATTTAAGGGAAGGAACCTTGTATGATTTGTCCACCATCTCTAGCGCTGAATGCCATGCCTAGAACATGATAAGTGTTAAATAAATGTCTGATTGCCAAGTGAGGCCTACCCTTCTCTTACGTCTGATTCCCCCTGAGTCAGAAAAATGCCTCAGGGGCTTGCAGAGGAATATGGAAGTAGCCTGGGTTCTCTCCCAAGAAGAAATCAGATGACATCACCACGCAAAACACAGGAAGGGAAAACTGTCAACCCCAGAAGCCTGATTGAGAATTAAGCCTCTCAGACAACACGTCTAGAATACGAATTTAAAAGCCCTTAGCCAAGTAACAGCAGTGTGACAGCACAGCGGAGGGCTATGCGGGCCACAGGTGCTTAGTGGGAGACGAGAACAGTGGGGCAGAAAGAAGGGCCACGGAAATTCCACCCTGTCAACTACATTTTATTTTCAGATTCTGCCTTTAAGAAAAGCCATCTCCACAGCAGGATAAGTGAGATTTCAATGGAAAATTCCAAGATTGGACATTTAAAATTCAAGGAGTCTTTTGGAAACAAGCAGCGTCTACAGTTCTCCGCTGGATTCCCTGGCTAATGCTCTGCCCCGCACGTAAGCTGCAAGCCCAGCCTCAAGTTCTAGCCTTTCTGGTTCTTGCTGACATTATCAAAAATGTTTAGCAGGGGCCGGCCCGGTGGCGCAAGCGGTTAAGTGCGCGCGCTCCGCTGCGGCGGCCCGGGGTTCGCTGGTTCGGATCCCGGGCGCGCACCGACGCACTGCTGGCAAGCCATGCTGTGGCGGCGTCCCATATAAAGTGGAGGAAGATGGGCACGGATGTTAGCCCAGGGCCGTCTTCCTCAGCAAAAAAAGAGGAGGATTGGCGGATGTTAGCACAGGGCTGATCTCCTCACAAAAAAAAAAAAAAAAAAAAATGTTTAGCAATATACTCCATCAAAAAAATCACAACACAATATTTAAGTTTTGCTAAAGGTCTTTTACTGGTAATTCTTAATCTTTCTTACAAGATAAACACAGTTCAATTAAACATACATGTGCTTTGTCTTAGAGCCACAGACCAAAGAGAAATACAATATGCAATAAATGCCATCCCACCCCAAATCAATAGCTATGACTAGAATCATGGAATTTTAGAGTTGATTAGAAAAGAGCTCAGATCTTTGATTTCAATGCTCTCATTCTGAAAATGGAGTAGCTGGCACCCAAAAAAAATGTGCCAAAACATTACTTCAACGTGCCAACCGCCAAGCACGCTGCCTTTCCTCACTGGGCCTGGCACAGTCTCCACTCCAAACCTGCAAAGGGACCCATCAGATCACACCGATCCAGGCCTGAAGCTCTGGTCAGACATGACCTAGCTGGACAACCTTGAGTAAGTTACTGCATCCCTCTGAACCTGTTTTCGTATCTGGATTGTAGGATAATAATGCTTACCTCACTGGATTTTATGTGGTTAATGAGGTAACATGGAGCATCATGTCTGGCATATAGAAGATGCTCAACAAATGAACTTTCCCTTTGCTCTTCTCATCAGGTCTTCCTCCATGGCAGCCTTTCCAACTAGACTTCCTTATCGGAACCATAAATTCAAAGAGAATTATTTGAGTGCCTATTTTCTCAATTCCTCCCAAGGATGGCAAATGGCTAGTACCATTCTAGAAGACAGTTCATTCATTGCATAGAGTGGATGTCTTAGGATGTAAGGGCTTAATTCTCTCTACGAATCCAGCTGAGAGATGGCTTCCTGGACTCACACAGCTCTACAGGGTTCACAGCAGCACTCTCTGACACATCTAGTATTGGACACTACTGATACAGGGCCCCCCAAACAAGGTAGGAAGTAGAGGGTTGAGGGCTAGAAATAGGAGCAGAGGATGAAGAGGGGTTTTAAAATGCCTTCCCTGGGGTCTCTGTGGTTGGTTGCTGACAGCACTCCCTGAGCACAGGTAGTGTGCTGCCTATGTGCCTAGCAATAGCCAGAGCCCACCCTCAGTGGTCCAGTTTCTGTGAGGGCATCACATTCAATTTTGGGTCTCATGTCAACTCTTCCAGCATTATGTTGCTTTAAACCCTGCCTTGCCATTACAGGGGCAGCTCTGAGCCCCTCAAGGAACAGCCTTCCAGGCCTAAGCTTTTACGTTGGTCCCCACCACCCCACCCTCACACACACACACACACACACACACACACAGTATCCCAGACCTTCATGCACATACAGCTGTTATCTCTGAAATTCATCCAGGTTGCCTCAGTGCCCCTGGTCTGGTCTGGGGAGGCCCTGGATCTCAGGTCTCTGCCATCTCCATCTGCCTCACCCCTGCCCTGGTGCAGAAGGAAGAAATGGCAAGGGAATCCTTGGGGGCACCAGGGCCACCTCCCGGAGCCTCTCTGGTCCTGTCTGCCATCACTGAGGTGGAGTAGGTATGCCTTCCGACACTGGAAGTGGAAGGAAAGCCATTTGGGCAAAGAGAAGGAAGGGGTTCTTTGCCAGTTAGCTTCAAGTCCCACTTACAGTATTATCTAGTTTGGTTTTCTCAAACTGGATTCTATTTAAGCACCCCAGAGAGGAGGGAAAGGAAAGTTTCAAGGGAACGGGGATGAGAGGGAGTCAGAGCCGCAGAATCCTGAAAACCTTTTTCACGCTTTTTCCTGCTGTCTGCATGGCCCCCCTGCTCCTCTCCAGCTTTGCTTTTCCGACCAGGGCACACTCAGAGCCTCGCCTCCACCGCTTCTGCCCAGCCCTGCGGCTTTCACAGGCCGCCTCCCCCACTCCCACGCATAAGCATAACGGGTGCATGATCTCCGCGACTTCCGGGCAGCACACGTCTTCCTTTACAGCTCCCAATGCAGGGGCTCAAAAGTAACTTGTTGAGTATTTGCAATTAGTAAAATATAAAGAATCCAGTTTAGCAACTAACCAAGGGTAGGAGGTCACCACTCATAAAACCACTCTGGACTTCCTCGCTTAACTAATATTTAGGGTCAAGGTCTTTCTCTCAATCTGTACCCAGAATTCTGTCCTCCAGGTGGAAAAGGGGGGCACTAACGGGAGCACACGGTCCTAGGGGACACCAGAGCAATCCCATCTCAGGGAAACTGCACTGCTTGTTTCAGAGGGTCCAGGACCAGCCCCTCCTCTGGGCTGGAGGCCTCAGTCCTGCAGCCAGGACGAAACAAACGGCATCCACTCCCCCCTGGGCCGGCGAGCCCTCTCCCATCTCCTCTGTTTTACAGAGATCAAGGAGCTGCAGCTCCGAAAGCCAGACACGTGCCATTGGTCAAGAACTATCTGGGGAAGGGAACAGCGCATCAAGGGACCGAATCCCATCCTCACCTTGAACACAGTTTCCCAGGTAACGACGCGCCCCGCTACGGGGGCCAACAGGATCCTGGCTCTAACAGGTAACCCACTGGCAGAAATGGGTGCAAGAAGGGACAGAATGGTGGGCGGTGGAAGGAAATCACAAGAAAAGCAGAAAAGGAAAGGAAAGCAAGAAATCAAAAGATTGAAACGAGAAACAGAAAAAGTGGGGGGAGAGAAGGGGAAAAGACAGGCTCGAGGGAGAGGACAGCAGGAGCCCGGGCGGACCGACGCGGGGAGCGGACGGGCGCGGGCGCGCGGAGGGCGGCGGCGGCGCCCTTACCGGCGGTGGCTGAGCGCAGGCTCTCCAGGCTCCAGGAGCGGGACAGGGCGCCGCGCATGCCCCCGCGGCTGCCGCACACCACGCCGCTGCTGTCCGAGTCGGAGCCCGGGGACAGCCCGGCGCTGCTGCCGCCGCTGCTGCTGCTAGTGCCGAGGTCACCGCTCGTCTGCCCGCTCGACTCGCTCGGGCATTGCTGCGCCCTCATGCAGGGGGGCCCGAGCTCCAGCCACAGGCTCGCGGG